TTCTGAGCTGCAGGTGCACATTGCCAGGTCATGCCCAGCTTTTTATTCACCAAGAGCCCCAAATCCTTTTCAGGCTGCTGTCAATTCTCTCTTCCCCCAACCTGTATTGATACTGGAGCATAGGAAGGATGTCTGGAGCCCGACCATGGAGACTGAGGAGCAGCAAGGAGCAGAGGTCAGCCCCACTTGGGGCAGACCCCAAGCCCATCCCAGAGACTTAGACACTCACAACCCCCACATCTCCTCCCTGCCTCCTGCTGGCAATCACCTGTCCTGGGCAGGCCAGGAGCCAGCCAACACCATCCCTGTGGGATGGGCACTCCCCACGCTGGGCTCTCTTGGGGCAGCAACACCAAACCTGCCAGGAAAGCAAATTCAAGAGGAACTTGGAGGGGAATTGAGTTTCTTTCATCCATCTCTTGCTCCCATGGGCATACCAGGTTTGGCGGTGATGGCCTAAACAAAACAGTGGTCCTGCTGCTGGCAAAAGGAGCCTCATGTCTCCCAGTGCTGCCGGGGATCTCCCAGCACTGCCGTCCCTGGGTTCCAGCATTTTCTAAGACCTGATTCAGATTCATAGAATCATGGAATCATTCAGATTGGAAAAGACCTCTAAGACCATCAAGTCCAACCATTAACCCAGTACCACCATGTTCCTTGCTAAACCAAGTCCCCAAGTGCCACATCCACGCATTTGCACAGTCCTTCCCTCCTGCTTTTTGGCAGGGAGCTGGCAGCAGGGCCTGACCCCTCCTGAGGTGCCAACAGACACCTCGTGCCCCACCCCTGACTGCAGCATCTCATCCCCAGCCTTGTGGTGCTGCCTGGGCTTTCGCCCAGGAGAGCGTCTGCCTGGGGTTCTGCCAGCCAGAAATGCCCCAAGGACTGACACCTTCTGCCAGGAAGGACACTGGCTTCTTTTCCACTGGAAGCTCAAGTCTCAGTAATTATGATTCCAGCAGTTGGTAAATCAGACCCTTAGCAGTGGTTGAGGCTGGAGTGAATGACAGGCAATGCAGGAGCCCCCATCTGAGCTGTGCTGCCAGGTAAATAAATAAATATAATAAATAAATACCACAATTTTTGAGGGGGGGCTCTGGAAGGGAGAGGGTGGCAGGGCAATGCATTCCACAGGACTTGAAATACATCTTGACATTGCATTGGTAAAGTCCATTTCTTGATCACAGGACACTGGCCCCACTTTTTTGTGGGCTCAGTTTGGGGCAGGTCCTTCTGGGCCATGAGCCAGGCTCTCGCTTTGGCTCAGGTCTGGGCAGGCAGAGCACAGGCACGTCTCTGATTCCAGGGGCAGGAAACCTCACTAATTATTGATTAAAAGATTTTACTAAATCTTTTCCACAAGCAACAGCTGGCAAGGAAAAACCTGATGAATTATAGATCAGTGGCTCTGGAGCCCCCAGGCTCCCATCCTCCCCCGCTGCCTGTACCTCGGCAGATTCCCAGCCACAGATTTACCCATAACAAGCCTTCAACAGGGCTGGAGAGCCTCTACTGGGAATCAGAGATGGATGTGGGTCCTGATCCATCTCCTGGATGGGAGGGAAGCAGTGCCTGGGAAGAACAGCCTAACCCCACTCTCGCAGCCACCCTCACTGGGGCTTTCTTATGAGCAAATGTGCTGAGCAGAACCAACACCTCCCTCCTCTCCCCAGCTGCAGGTCCTGTTCTCACTCTGCCGGCTCCTGCACTGAAATTTCAACAGTCATTTATTGTCTTGTTTTCCCAGCTCGCCAGTAATTTTAAAACGGGGGGAATCTAATTTAGTAAATGAGATGTTTCAGGAAGGCTTTAATTAGCTGCAGAGAGAGGCAGTGGGTCCTGTACTTGCTGAGAGCTGTGCTCCCAGGCTGAGGCTCCCTGGTGAGGGCTTAGCAAGGCTTTCAGGGGGGTGTTTAATAAACCCTGGGGGTTTAGACCAGAGGGAGGGATGCAGAGATGGAGGCAAAGGAGTGTGGGATCACATGAGCTTTTGCAGCTCTCACTCCAAACCGCTGCCCCCAGCCTTGAGGGCAAAGCTCTGCTCTGCTCCCCAAATGCTCCCTCTCCATGGGATGACCTCTGGCAGGCTTTGTCACACAAAAACCAAATCTGGTTTGCTTTTTTCACTGTACATGACTGGGTGATTTCCCCAGGCCAGGCAAGCCCCAGTGTCTCATGCCAGGAGGAGGTGGTGTCTCTGTGGGGACGTGGCAGGAGCAGAGTGAGTGCACCTGGAGCTGATGAAACACCTTATCTGGAGAGA